AGTCGATCAGATAATACTATATTTTGAACATTACAGACAAATTTTGAGCAATGTTTCATTTCGTCTACTATTCAATGGTTATTTTGTTTCATTTTTCATTTCCCTTTCTTGGTATCAATCTCTCATGTGTTTGCAGTCATCGCTGTATTTTTTAAAAACTGTATAAAGTATAATATTATAGATTTAGTGTAAATTCCATTATTTAACACTTAAGGGTTCTAGAGGGTTGAACCTTAAAGCTTCAGACTTAATGTGGAATAACACAGTGACGATTGGCAAAAATTAAGTTTTTTATATATATACTTTCAAAGTATAATTTTTCGAAAATATTCTACCAGAATATTAAGTCGAATATCACGTGAATAACGAAAAAAATGTCCCAACTTTGATCAATGAACCGTGAACAAATTGAGAAATTATTTTGTTCGACGCGTAACATCCTATGACTCGTATATCTTGCTCAAGTATACATAGGTATTTTGTAATAAAAGAAAATTTAACGTATTGTCCAAAATATATATTTGATCACCCTATTAATAATAGTTTAATGAGGTTTGGGTGTTGCAGAACTAATTTATAAAAACCACGCTTTTCTGGACGTTTTTGGATTATTCCCCCTTGAATCTTTAAAAGCTTGAGATTCGTGTAATATCAGAGTTAAAAACTAAAAATTTTTAGGTTAAGTTTTAAGGCTTCGAAAATTCAAGGTCTGTACATTACTTCACTACATACAATTTATACGACTCGAGCCTTCAAGCTTAAAGGCTCGAGCGTTAAAGACTCGAGCTTTCACGACTCAAGCTTCGAACCTTGAGGGTTCGAGCCTTTAGGGTTTGAACCGCGACTCGAGCTGTTAAAGCTCAAGACTCGAGGCTCATTTTAACAACACTAATCTGAGGTGGTAATAGTTATTGTTCCACCTTGTATACAAAGAATTTAAAATTGCTTACATTTTGACAATATTTTCACTTCGTATAGAATATAAGTCGTTGCGGGCCACGAAAGTACATGTCGCGGGCCGCATGCGGCGCCTGCTTCGGGGGCTTTAGAAGCCCACGTGTCACGTACCGGCTGACTCCTACGATAAAGAAGGGATCGCTGCTATCACAGCGCAGGGACGACCACTATATGTGTGGTATCGGGAATGTTTGGGGTACTCGGTACATATTTGTGTACGTAGCTTCAAGAGACATTTTTAGCCGTTAGACCAGGGCGTTTTGCGAGGCGAGGACCGGATAAAGGCCATAAAAATGAAAGCGAGCTTGACCTGCGTTGGGTTGCGAGCGATGACGGGGTTTGGCTCGTCGGCAAAGGTTTGCTGGAGTCAAGGATGTTTATGCCCTTATTTGGGCATAAGAAAAGGTATCGAGAGGGCAAGCGTGGGGTAATGTGGGGTAGGTTAGTCTTTCGGGGAGGACAGTTGAGTGTGGAAGTTGGTAGTGAAAAGTTGTGGCTCATGGAATCAGTATTGTAGTTTACCTTTAGTCGTCTTAGTCTATATTTAACATACTATTTAATATTTGTAACGCTAGTTTTATTTTCTTTTAAAATAAATATATGTTTGTTTTTTTTAATTATATGTGATACCACATATGCCATCTTTCGATCCACGTGGCACTTATGTCCGTCGTCTGATCGGGCACCACGGGAGTCGAGTATATCGCGGTCTTACAGGCTAGTAGGGCTTATGGGTTGTCGTTAATAATATTTGCGTAGGAGATCGGCGCGGCGCTTGGAATACAGCTTGTACCAGGGATCCTCGATACAAATGTTCTCCAAGTCTGGGAGATCGGGTAGCATTGTTACTTTCCTCACCTTCCACTTGAAATGATCCAACGGGACTGGAGGACTGAAGGCGGATGATGATTTAACAGGAGATTCCTCCCTAGAGATGGCCTGTGGCTGGCTCTGGATATCAATTTCCCGGAATTCGGAAACAACTTCAGGCGGATATATTCTTGATACCGCAGGTTCGTATAATTGCCGAATCAGACGGCGTAATTCCGTTTCTCGGCCGGCGCGTCGTGTTTTCGGCATTGAGCGATTGAAGATACGTTTTAATTATTGAGATTCGTTACTCGCACCTTCGATAACGAGTGTCGTTATTTCCGGCTGGGTGTCCTTTATACAACGAGCGGAACGTCCTCTCTGAAGCGCAACATCGGAGACCATGAGCGGGACAGCCTCTCTATGGTCTATGGTGAGTACCGTGTCTCTTCATATACTCATGCGTAATTTTACCTATTATTATCTATACTGTGACTCGTTATTCGCGCCTTCAATAACGAGTAACGTTATTTATGGTGGAATGTCTTTGCGCAACGAGCGGAACGTCCTCTCTGAAGCGCAAGATCAGAGACCATGAGTGGAAGGTCCTCTCTATGGTGTTTGGAGAGTACCAAGTCGCTTCATATATTCATGCGTGATTTTACTTGTTGCTCGTGTGCCGTTGAGGGGAACGGTACTATATAAAATGAGTGGACGCTAATTTATATCGACCACTAATAGATATACTCTATGAAATTAGGATGGATGGCAAAGGATACAAAAAGATTTAATTTTACCTTAACTTTTAGAATACAATTACGCTATTGAAAGTAACTACACCGGAAAATAGAATACTATAAATTCGCATGTTAGCGATTCCCGGACAAAAGTCGTCGACGAGTGCTCGCGCTGTCGTATTTATACCTAACCCTCGGTGTCGAGGAGTATCTGCATCTCGTGGCGGCGGATCTTCCCCTCGAGCGGTGGTCACTACCTTCGCGGAAGAATCGTTACGTCACATAGTGATAACGCTGAGGCTAGCGATAGCTTCTTCGCTCGCATGTGCTCATTCATGCGTCTTTGAATTTACGCTCGTCGCCGCGCGACAGTATGACGAACAATATGGAATCCTTTTTCCTTGATATATGCAACGTGGCTCTGCCGGTCTATTCGCTACGCTTGTCTTACAATATACTGGCTTATACTACCTAGCAATTTTAACTTATACGCCTATGCATACAGGGTGTAACAAAAATGTTGTCCGACCCGGAAATGACGTACTTGGGGGGTGAATTGGAACAAGTTTTTCATTAGCAACAATGTAATCTGAGGCTTCGTTACCGAGATATTAACGAAAAACCCCGACCAATCAGAGCGCGTGTTTGCCAGCCGAGTTCCCGCGGTAGCGTTCGCTACAAATCGCAGCGCGTAGCTACCGCTAGCGCGGGAACTCGGCTGACAAACTCGCGCTCTGATTGGTCGGGGTTTTTCGTTAATATCTCGGTAACGAAGCAAAATGTATTCGAAAGTGTGGAATCTCTACTTTTAGATGCTGTTCGAAGATTTCAACTGCGTTTCTTTTTGTCAAAGTTATAGCTACATAAATAGCACTCCGAATTTTTTTTTTAATTTAGTTCTACTTTACAGTGTTACATGGGCTGAATAAAATTTTATATACAAGTTACATTTATACTAGTCAAAAGCGATCTTCCTGTGTAAAATGAGTGATCGTCGATTGTTTTGCGATTTTTGTTGGCCGAGTTCTTCAACTTTGAAGCAAAATCATCTTTTTGAACATATTTGCCTCTAGGAAGCGAAGGAATCATTCTAGAATACTCAATATAAAAGGAATAGAGACCTTAAGATCATGATATAGTGGTCATCCCCTTTCGAGATTCAGCGAGTTAAAATAAATGGAATATTTGAAATTTTTAACCCATTTTCGAAAAGACCTGGTACACCAAAATATTAATCAAATCGAAAAAGCAGAAGATACATCAGCAAGAGGAATGTCTGATCGGTTCTCGACAGAAAGAGATCCGCTTCCATTGTTATCATATACGTATAGCCTCGTCATTTGTTCGATACGAAAACGTTTTCATGAAAGCATTGACAAAGCCACGACGTTTCAATTCCGTATTTCGTTCAAATATTAGCAGACAATTGTACGGGGACACAATGACGTGAATATATGTAGAATATACAGTAGACAAAGACAATAATATGAAGGAAGGTACAAACCAGCGAGCACAGCGCCGAAAAGCATGAAGAGAAACCCGAATGCTAGAAGAGCAATTTGACAATTCGCAGCTATTCGACTCCAGCTACCATCAGGTCACTAAGACTGATCTCTCTATTCCTTTTTTGTTGAATGTTCTGGGATAATTCCTTCGTTTCCTAGAAGCAATGAAATTCAAAGGGATGATTTTTGCTTCAAAGTTGCATTGGAAAGTAGAACAAAATTGTTCAAAATTTTCCGAGTGTTATTTATATAGCTATAAATTTGACAAAAAGCAACGCAAGCTATAATCTTAAAAAACAATCTGAAAGTAGAGATTTCACACTTTCGAATAAATTTTTAAAGATATCGATACCATTATTTTTGTCGGAGTTATGACTATTTAAACTTGGCCCTATTTTTCGGGTTCGCAGAGGTGATCCCTTTATTTTTTTGCTAGGTGTAGTGTCCGAGATAAAAATTTATAAGGATACCCTGGGTTCACGCAGAAAAGGTAAAAGTTGCAAACTTTGATGACCTGTATTTTTTATATAAATGTGATACCAACAAAATGATGACTTAACCCTCTCCCCCACCCCAATTTCACGTGGACTACATTATATTTAATTCTGAACAAAATCCCTGACATCGAGTGCAAAAAGTGATCGATTTGACGTGGAATGCTTCTTGTAGCCCTATAGCCTCCGTATCTGAGATACTCGTATGTTGGGAATGTCGAAAACTGGCCCAATCATCGTTTTGCTAGAAAGATGTGTTACTCGTCATGAATGTGTCTCCATTTTTATTCCTGTTAAATGGTATTTCTAAGCTATCAATGAAAATTGTTATGTAAACAGATAGAAACAGTTCTATCCCTTGAAATTTTTGACTGGTGCTATCGCCATTTTTTATGACTTTCGAAGAAATATCGTGACTTACGCATAATTTAGTACTCAATAATAAATTGACTAAAAACAATTGACTAAAAAAGTTATTTTTCGGTGAATTGTTGCAGGCCCAGCGCGATGGCGGATGAGGAGGGTACGCTCAGCGGTGGACTTGGTGCGAAATTAAAATGTCCGACTCCTATATCGCGATTAAGGGTGGAAAAGATCGAGGGTGGCCTGATGGTAGCTGGAGTCGTAATAGCTGCGAACTGCCAAATTGCTCTTCCAGCATTCGGGTTTCTCTTTATGCTTGTCGGCGCTGTGCTCACTGGTTTGTACCTTCCTTCATATTGTCTTTGCCTACTGCATATTCCACATATATTTACGTCATTTTATCCCCCACAATTGTCTGCTAATATTTTAACGAGCTAGGGAATTGAAACGCCATGGCTGTTCGTAATGTTTTCATGAAAACGTTTTCGTGTCGAGTAGAGACGAGTCGGATATGATAAAAATGGAAGTGGAACTCTTTCTGTCGAAGACCTATCAGAATTGTTTTATTTAGCATTCCGTAAAAGGTAATTTAAGAAGCACAAGCAGGAGTTCACATGAGAATTCCTGATAGACGTTCTTGTTAAATTTTACTTAAGTGAAAATGTTTATTTGATTTAAATGAAAGCATAGGTATAACAAAAATGTTGGAGAACCCGGAAATGGGAGACTCGTTAGGTGATTTGAAACAAGTTTTTCCTTATCAGAAATGTTATCAGAGGCTTTGTTAATGAGATATTAACGAAAAATCGTGACCAATCAGAGCGCGAGTCTGCAGGCCGAGTTCCCCCAGTAACGTTGGCTATGCGCTGCGATTGGTAGCCAACGCTACAGCGGGAGCTCGGCCGGTAGACTTCCGCTCTGATTGGTCGTGGTTTTTCGTTAATATCTCGTTAAGAAAGCCTTGGATAACATTTTTGCTAAGGAAAAACTTGTTTTAAATCACCTCACGAGTCTCCCATTTCCGGGTCCTACAACATTTTTGGTACACTCTGTATTGTACTTCGCATGAACGCCATGCGTGAATTCGAGTAAAACGATACGATAATAATGGTATCCCGAGTTTTATAAAATGATGATCTGATCAGGTAGTAGCGATCCCCAGCCATTCTACATTGTCACATAAATGAGGTCTCGTTTAATATCGGGAAAAGGGGATCATTCACACGTAATTTATGTCCACTTCGTGCATTTTGTAGAAACGAGGGACTTGCTGCTACGAAAAGATAGCAATTACCGCTAAATTGTTTCTGTCGGCAGCGAGAATATTGCCGCGAGAACGTGATTAGTATTTTTATATTTTGTTCCAGCTGCTTCCTATCGAGGACCTGGTGAAGACGAGGACAAGGATTCGTATGCAGCTAGGATCGCGTTCACAGGGAACTCGCGTATCCTCGGCCCGATTTGTATCGTGGTGGGTGCACTCATGCTTACTCTAGGAGTGTTACTATGCATGCTCACCAGGAGGGCGAGGAAAACAGAACGTAGGGTCGGCTTCCATTGCCCTCTTCATGGGGATTTTTACCCCTTAAGTCCTGTCCAGGGTGTCAAGATGCTGGGTAAGTTAAAACATTTCTACCAGGGTGTCTCTTATTAACTGTCGATAAATGTTTTTTTAAAGACTTTTTTCACGGTACCATTCAAAGTAGTTCCAGTTAGTAAAAAAAATAATCTGTGTGAAATTTGAGCTCGATTGGATAAGGGGAAATGGTGCCTCCGAGCCCTTAAACATTTACATAATTACTTAAAGGCACGCAAAGTTAATTTATTCGTTTCACCTCTAAGTTATTATTTATATAAAAAAATATGTCACATAAAAGTTTCAGATCTAGAGAAGGAGCATCTTTGATCTTCTTGTCCTTGTTATCGGACGTCAAACGAGTTTCGAAGAAACAATAACAAAATGCTTGGAAAGAATTGTAAAAATTGTATTTCAATTTTGAGAATTGAAATGTGCCTGTGAGTGACAGGGGAGTAAAATGATTAGAGTCACGTTATCGTTGCTCGTGCAACTCTCGTGGTCCTCGATGGTGCTCGAGCAACTCTCTGTTTTGGACTGCCGTTTTCGTGTCTTCATGTCTCAGTAGTCGTTAACGAACCCTTAAATATCCCCCCCGCCCCTTGTCAGTGTCGGGGAGCCTTCAAACACTCGTTTATGATTTACTGTACTACCGTCGCGTCCTAGTGTCCAGAAACGAGCATAGTCAGTGACCTTATATACCAAATATTTTCCTGACAGGTCCAAATTCACGGCGTCTTGTACACCCCCAATATCCATCGCATGAGATATAATAAATGGAAAATCGTATCTTAATAGTTTCCAATGAAATACATCAAGGTCATTAAAAAGTCAATTTACTTACTATACACCTACCTCCTGAACATTAATCGATAATAAAGAAGTTGTCACTATGATTACAAATATCCCACAAATTGGCGCAAAAGCTTAAGCAAATGCCTCTTACAGTACTAATATTTAATCTAATCTAATGTCCGCAGGTATGTCAGGTAAAGATGTTAGCGGATGGTCAAAAATTCCCTGCCTGAAGGGACGTTCCTCATGTAAAAATGAAAGTGCATCTGGCGGTGCACATGCTAGCCCACCACAATGTCCACACTCCGTCTTAAGTAGCACGCGAAGTTCGGTGAGCAGTTCGCCTCTGAGTCCGTGTCCAACACCCATGCCATTTTTGGTTACTTCGGGTTCAGTCAGGTAAAATTATAGTCTCTTTTACATTGTTTTTCCAAATTACAAATGGACCTATAATATTATTTGAACATTTTATTGTCCGATCATACTACTAGGTGATCACCTACTACCAGATACCTAACCCCAAAGTCCACTTTATAAACCTGGTGTAATGTAGACTTAAAAAAGTTAAACTTGAATTAGTCGCAGGAGTGAATATAGAACGTGCACCATATTTATGTGTATTTTGCAATCTTGTGATTCAAATTGATGTGAATGCAACGTTCTGTTTCAGTAGCGGGATGGTGCAAATCGTTGGTGCTAATTTATCGCCAGACCAAACATTCGGATCGATTCGTTCGCTATCGGTGACTAGAGAAGTTGCCAGCTTTCCTCTATCAAGGACACCTACGCCACCTAGGGAACACAGGTGGGTAATTTTCTTTCATTTGTGGCGTTCTGCAGTTGCGTGGAACATATAATACAGGGTGTAACAAAAATGCTGGAGGACCCGGAAATGGGAGACTCGTGAGGCGATTTGAAACAACTTTTTCCTTAGCACAAATGTTATCCGAGACTTCGTTAACGAGATATTAACGAAAAACCCCGACCAATCAGAGCGCGAGTCTGCCGGCCGAGCTTCCGCGGTAACGTTGGCTACCAATCGCAGCGCGTACCCAACGTTACCGCGGGAATTCGGCCGGTAGACTCGCGCTCTAATTGGTCGGGGTTTTTCGTTAATATCTCGTTAACAAAGCCTCGGATAACATTTGTGCTAAGGAAAAAGTTGTTTCAAATCATTCCAGGAACCCTTCATTACCGGGAGTCGAAGCTATTTTGGGACACTCTGTATAGATTCTCAACACGCCTCATAGCACGTGTAGGACCCTCTTATTACGAATGCAAAACGGAGATGAGACGGAAACGAAAACAAATCATATTCTAGCACACTTCCGGGTGAAAACAAAAACTATGTGTTTTAATCACTGATTTAACACTCTCAAATAAACAATAAAAATTCGTATCAATTTCTACTAGTCTTGAATATGAGATATTGTAATCGATTATTTTCAATTTCAGGCCCTCCATGCTGACGAACACAGAGCATCTAGGAAACGTAAGCAGCCCAGTCAGAGAAGCGTTACCCAGACCGAAAGTACGTGTAGTGGCGCCATCGCACCGACCTCAATCAACTCTTGTGATGACGAACGTCGTCACTAATGGATCAGCGAATCGCAAATCGGTTAGCATACTGCTTCCCGAGCACTCGAGTGGATGACCCCTACAGCAACACGGCTTTGTGCATCGTTGCGATAAGGAACACCCATCAATTTAGAATCGACAAGAACCGAGACGACGAGGGAAACGAAGTGGGATCGATTGCTCAACGAAAAGACAAAAATCGAATAATTTTTGTCGGGCAATTGATTGTCCAGTTTTTAAGGGAGTCGGTTATGGCGTACTTTTCAGCCACAAGTAACTCTTAAGAAACCCAGACGGTCTGATTCTAGTTTCAGTGAACGATGCTTGCATACGATGTTGGCAGCTGGATCTAACAATAAGCCTAGGTAATATCGTCGGCAGTAACTGCAGGATCTGGATTGGACGGAGTAGATGGGCTAACGATCTGTTAATTCATTATTGGCAGAGATTCATTTACCAACTCCGCTTCTCAACATCGAAATAAGAGGGTAATTAATGACAGGGACAAGTTGTCAAGTAATTACCTTAGACCACGGTCGTACACACTCGTCCGGAAACTCCCGTGATAAGGGTGATTCCTTAAAGACGCCAAGTGTACTTTTGAACTTTGCCACGAAGCGAGGGCACTACTGTCTTATGGTTCAGTCATGGACCTAGGAATTGGACCTTGCTCTCCGTGTTCTAATTCCTAGGTCCATGGGTTCTGTCGCGGTCGTATACATTCCCTGTGGCGTATCAGAACGCATGCGCCTATTCTTGCGTTTAAAAAATGCATAGACATATATAATAGACTGCGCGGTCTTATGGTAGGGATGAAGCGAGACCGAAGGACAGAAGTAGCGATGGAGTCATTCCTCTTTCGTTCACATATCGCAGAAGGAGGGGAGAAAGCGACTGGAGGGCGATGAGGAGAAGGAATAATGCGCGCATGTAATGCCTCCACACAGCCGTAGAAGAATTCCCCACCAACAGCCCCATTAGAAAGAGAAGTCTGTGACTCCATGTATTATCTTCTCACTCTACTGCCAACCTCATCCCTACCATAAGATCGCGCAGTCTATTTGTATATGTCTATGAAAACATGACGTACGTACAATACGATTGTAGCGCTGTGTGGTTAGCGAAAGATTCACGAAACTTTCGTTCTTCTTTACGGGATTACCCCCACCACGGGAGTTTCCGGACCTGTGTATGCGACCATGCCTTAGATTCTCGGCTGATCCGTGTTTTCTTGCGAAACTATAGTTTCTTTTGATTCGAGAACAATGATTTATTTCTTGTCACAGAGAGTAGAAAATAGAGACAAAAAAAGCAGTACATCGCAAGGTTTATGCTAAAAATCTTGTTTGAGACATGTATCAGGAAAATATATTCTTTTAAAAATACCGTTTTGTGATCTGCTGAAGACGTCGGTGTTTTTGTTGTCCAAGGAGTTTTTGACATCGGGCAACATACTCAAATTTATGCACCGCGAGAGTATACTTACAACAGATATTTTTTTCTGAGACTATTCGATAACAGATTTTGAAATTGAGTGTTCATATGGGCGAAAAGATTGCATTTAGGTGTATTCTACCGACGGAAAAAGAATGACTCTATAAAAATGCAAATTTTGATGTTGTATTTCACATTTTTATAATATTTTAATCATCACGTTTTACATGTCACGGACAAAATTTGGAATTTCTAACTTTAAACGGTTGTATTTAAAATTTCACTTCCACGTCACCGGAAGCAATATAAAAATAAACTCTGTCGATTTCTTGCCAATGTACTCCGGCTTATAAATCATGAACATTTTTAAACATCATTAACAACAGTCTTTAATTGTGTGAGTGATGTATATAACCGCTCAAGAATGTAAAAATACATATGTCTTAGACTGACGGGAAAAAATAACTGTTAAATAAATCATCATTATCATTGTGGAACATCTTTCATTTCTTTAGATAGATATATAGCTGAAACGAATGTTAATAAATGGTATTATGATTGACAGTACGACACGAAAAAGATACGAATTTTCAAACGAACATGATTCTTCCTTATCCAGACTTTTCTTAGATTGATAGACGGTAAATGCAGAGATTATTCGATGCCAATAGTGAAAACATGGTTCACACGTGTTTATCATGATAAAATGATTTCCTATACGAACAACAATTTACGTTCATCGGTTTATGAAACTTAAATTGTCTTCGTGTCGATTACAGACTTACTTATTACTTGTTACTTCGTTTTGTTCGTTATTCGAGATTTTAGAGGATTTAATGTATTTAACTGCCTGATAATAGCTAGCTATAATCTTTGCCCTGATAGTTAAGTAAAATCGGTTGAAACGGAGTGGGAGAGGAAAATAAGACTCTCAGGATTCGTTTTAAGTCGACGCTCTAAGACTCTAAGAGATATTACTCGATCAATATATGGAAATGGAACTCTAAATTATCCACGTGGATTATCCTCAGATAGCACATGACGCCTTAAAGACACCAATTTTACGGCTACTTTAGGTCTAAGGCGCCTTCAAGCCGTCTTCAAGGTATTATTAGACGTCATGTGCTATCTGGATCGTGGATGTTAATTACACATTGTCTTTAAGATTATAGACTTAAGGTAATAGTATGTATTATGCTCAGAAATGAATGCCTGCTCGGTAACGGCCTCAGAAGTGAATTGAAATGTTTATTGAACCTTACGAGTCGTCTCAATTCATTTTGTGAGTTTGTATCGTTGACTGCACAAATATAGTGACATTTTTTAAACCTCATAAAAGAACGCATCGTCGATGCGTATAATAGTTCCAGGTATCGTTGTAACCTACTAATGAGTTACTGTATCATAATAAATAGTGTGTGCCATTCTATCGTGCAAGAATTATCGAAGGGCCTTGTAGACAGCATGATCTGCCCATAGCCATCCAGACATAACTCGTATTGGATTGAATGTAAAGTTTTCGCATTTTTTTGTCATTAGTTACGATGGAGTATTTCAGTAGTAAATACTTTGGTAATTATGCGATGAGTTCCGACAATTATTGTCGACTTAAATCATCGGCATCCATTGTTTTTTCCACAATCTCTGAAACCATATTAGACACATTCAAACCTACCGACTAGCTCCTTCATACATTTCATAAATACTTTTTACTGTTTAAAAAAATAAAGCAATTAGTTGACGTTTTCAGATGCTTTTTGCAACAAAGAAGAGGAGCGGCAAGCTCACAACCCAGATAGCACACGACGATGTGTTATCTGGGAATTGAATTGTAAAGGAAGCACGTGACAAAACAGAAGACGAGATGACGAAAATAAAGAAATTATTGTTATCGAATAATGTAATTATTTGTTATAGTGACATCTCGCAGAAGACGCAGAAACTTTCCATTCAACCCAATAGAATACCACAATAGGCAGTGTGATATACCGGTGACCATCCACGCATAATTAACGAAACATCACACTAGTTCGTGTAACTTATCTGTGACTCACTGAACATAAAAAAATCATGGTATCATAAAAAATTCTTCAATTAAAAATGCACACACATGTAGTAGGTTGTACTGCATGAAATGGCCGATATTCGAATATTTAATTATCACGATTAGTAAATTAAATATGATCTACAGTACATCATCGATGAGTGTCAGAAGGCTCCTCAGCACTGAACATTAAATATTCCATAAATTAATGGCCATATACGCCTGTAACAAATATTATTGGTTTCAAAATTCCAAGTTTTGTCACTGTGCTAAGTCTTATTAAAAAGTCAGCATTACAAAATGGCGGCCTCGCCTTATCAGTGCTGAGGAGCCTGCGACCACTCATCGAGGACTTACTGTACATTGTTTCCTGTGTTAGTCAGAAGTTACATACATAGGCGTAGCCAAGGGTGGGCAGGGGGGACGGAAAATAGTGCTTTTGCCCCACTCTACAAGAAAAAAATTGGATTTTGCCAAGGATAACTGCTGTTGTTTCGATCTACAGAAACGGTAATTTCATGTGATACAACCCTTATGATTAAAAATATCTCCATAAAACGAATATTCATATAAAACCATATAGAAATCCAACGGTATTTGTTAGTGAAAATAATGTCAGCTTGGTTTGCATACATTTACCGTGAACATTCGGTACTCACGAGTTCGAAATTTTACAATCTTCGAGCTTCTAGAAGTCACTGTATTTGTTGTATTAAGCAGAGGCAAACAATCACCCTTGTTGTTGATGCGACTCTAAACTGGCCAAAAATATATTATTCACAAAAGATAAATAGTACATCATACACATGGCTTATTCCAACTGTTTAATCGATTAAGTTAAATTGTTTATTGAATTCTTTATTATATAAAAGCAAGGTATCGCCATGTTCCATAATTTGAATTTCTTTTAGTCGACCAATAACAGTTCTCAAGTCGACTAAATAAAAATTCTTCTGTGCTCCTAAATCCATTACATGTATACGTACACATCTTCATAGTAAATAATTACGACTCTGCGTTTGACAGGAATTTTTAAATTATTATAATTATCTTGTTAAGCTTCGAACTTTAATTGACCTCGACTATCGTAACGAATTTTCGAAATTACTCGAGCAGGCACACGAGATTATAAACAACCCTCTAGTCCTGTAAATACGTAGCTAGATAAAATGTCCAACGAAAAAAAGATTGTGTTTAGGACCTAAAACGTTTGTTATTTTTAATTTGAATTATGATTACTTCACAGTGTTGGGTGTTGGGTTAGATTTACGCCACTTCATAATAATTTTTTGATCATACAAAATACAGAGTAACGAATTCATTAAAATCCAACAAATTTCGCAATTTCATTTTAACTTGCGTATAAATTTAATTGAATAATAATTAACTAATGCCCAATACTGTCGTGAACTAAGAAAACAATTCTTTCATTTATTTTGATTATTTCATCGAACATTAAAAAATTATTTTAATGATATTCCAACGGCCTCATAGGGGAAAGCCGAGTACAGATCCTACATTATTAGATATAGTAAGTCGCAATAAATACATTTAAGTGTCATTTTTTCCATCTGTCAGATCATTGTACGTACCATATATTTAAATTTTTTCTTTAAATATATAATAGGTAAGCAATTCGACACTTTATACAATTACAGTAACAAAAAGTTTTAAAGTTATTACAAAACTTTGTATATTGCTTTTTAAAATGTTTCTATTGTCGACGTATCTATAAGAATGGATTGCAAATTGATTATGTACCATATTTGAAAAAAAATACTTTTAGAGATATTTGAATAAGTTGACTTGTAATGTGTTTTGCTTCATTGTTTCTGAATGTAACATTTATATTTATGTATGTAT